ACCAGGGATGTGCCCAGGTGGGGCAGTGGGCAGCTATGTGGGAGCCTGGGGAGCAATTAGGGATTGGGTGTCTTGCTCAGAGATACCACGACATGTGGGAATGGCTGGAGATTGAGCCTGGGACTTTCGGGTCCTGAGTCGGCTGCCCTGCCTCTACCCCATTTCGTCCCCTAAAAACCTGCATTACAAACTTTGTAGAAAACTTAAACACATCTAGGGATAGCTTTCACCAAAGAATAATCATCTTGATAATATTCTTAATTCCTCAATGTATAACCTAAAGAAGATGCTTTGCCATCACTTGCCATAACCAAAAATAAGAAAACAATAGTAAAAGTTTTTTTTTTTCCCTTTTCAATGTTGTCCTAAATAAGTTATCATAGTGTACTTGTTTTGTTCCTAAAAACTAAAATTTTAATGTAAACTTTTGCATGCTGCTGTGATAGTTGACAGTCGTTTAATAGTTGTACATAATGTATGTACATAATCTGCAGGTGAATTTTAGGAAGAATCATGTACATAATTTGCTCAAAGTGTGCATGTCAAAAGCTGTCACACAGCAGTTGCCAGGCTACAATTTGCTATCTGCTAGTCCATCTCACCTACTTGGGTTTGACAATGACTCATTCCAACCTTGGCAAACGTAATTTCGAGGATTTAAATTTCAGTTTCTAAAATACAAAATGGATAAATGACACGACTTTGAAAAGCATAGTCCACTATTATACTCAAGATTTTGTTCTGAGCTGTCAGGGGGGTGCATCTGAGAGCACTAAATGGTGTATTATTTTCTGTAACCATGCAGAAGAGCTCGTATTGTAAGGCAGGGAGAAAGTCACAGCATGACAGAACGACAGACAGAAGGGGGAAAAAAAAAAAAAACAGACCGAAAGTGAAACAGAAAAAAAAAATACTTCTATTAAGATGCTCCACTTGGTTTCAAGGGCAACTGCTTCTATGCATTTGTGTGTGCACATGTATTAGTGTGTCTGGCGTTAGGTTAGGATTACAGGCATTTAGCTCATAGGGATATACTTGTCTCATAGGCCCAGGCACACCTCTCTGCATACTGATGAGACACAAATAAAGAGTCTCCATGAGTGTGCAAGTTTGTCAAAGTGTGTAAGAAGTGACAGTGTGCCTGTGAGCTTGTATGTGTGTAAATCCTGGATGGATACTACATACGAGTATGACAGTGTGTAGAAAAACTGGGGCCCTGCAGTAACTGATAAACTCTTCCACATTTGCGTATCTGAATATCAGCCATTAGCTTTCTCTGCTGATTGCCAATGGAAAATTAGCATTCTGGTAATTAGCTTCTTTCGTAAATTGCCTGTGGAAGTCAGTGCATTAGCACTTGGTGATGTTAGACAATTTTCAAAACATTAAACAGCTTGACCCGGTATTTATCAAGATAATACAATAGTGAAAAGATCAAATGGTCTTACAGTTAAGGTGTTTAGGTCTATGATTAGTTTGGTTTCTTTTTTCAGTTGCATTGTTTTGACACAATGGAGTGCAATTAATGTGAAAAAGGATCGTTGAAGATAACGTTACCCATGACAATTTGCAAAGTTAGTACAAGTTCTGGCCCTAAACAAGTGGTGCAAGAGTTTGGTTCGCATTGCTGGTAGTAAGTCGGACCCCTTCGGGGTGGGAGTTGAACTCTGCCAGGGCTGCCCGTTGTGACGATTATTTTCATAACTTTTATGGACAGAATTTTTCAGTACAGCCAGGGGGCTGAGGGAGTCCGGTTCAGTGACCTCAGGATTCCTTCTCTGCTATTTGTGGATGATGCGGTCCTGTAGGCGTCATCGTGCTGTGATCTTCAGCTCCCAGTAGAGAAATTTGCAGCAGAGTGTGAAGCGGCTGAGATGAGAATCAGCACCCCCAAATCTGAGGACATGGTCCTGAACCGGATAAGGGTGGATTGCTCTCTTCGTGTCGAGGGTGAAGTTCTGCCTCAAGTGGAGGAGTTCAAGTATTTTGGGGCTTTGTTCACGAGTGAGGGCAGAATGGAGTGTGGGATTGGCAGACAGATTGGTGCAGCATCTGCAGTATTGCAGACTCTGGTAACTGGTAAGGATGCTACCTGGGCCCTTCCCTAGGGAGGTGCTTCGGGTATGTCCGACAGGGAGGAGTCCCCGGGGAAGACCCAGGACACGCTGGAGAGACTATGTCTCTCGGTCGGCCTGGGAATGCCTTGGAATCCTCCCAGAAGTGTTGGAAGAGGTGATTGTAGAAAGAGATGTCTCTGGGTCTCCCTGCTCAAGATGCTGCCCCCGTGACCTGACTTCAGAATAAGCAGAAGATGATGGATGGATGGATGGATGGATGGATGTTTAGCTGCACAATAATTATTTTTATATTTCTCTGCCTGTTTTGTTGTTTTGCATCTCATTGTACTTGATATTTTGCTTTCCTTTTTATGGCTATTTTTTCCACAGATGTTTGCCGTTTATTTATCATCTATTCCCTGTTTTATAATGTAAGTCTTTATTTATGCTGAAACAGTTTGGAGCTGAAACATGTCCATCTTTCCCATTCAAAACAAGATAATTTATTGCAGTGAATGATGGTGCTTTGTTTGTTGTGTTGAGCAAGTTTCAGAAGAACTAGTTCAAAGAATACACTGAAGTGTAATTATAGATTACATGTTAAAATTCTAAACTTAATACACACTACATTGATGTGCCTGAGTAGTTAGAGCAGTCGTTCTCCAATGCAATGTTGGGAGTTTGATTCCACCAGCAGTCACATGCCGAAGTGTGCCTGGGCAAGACACTGAACCCCCCATTGCTTACGATGTGTGTCATTGTAAGCAATGAGGTCATGTCATTGGTGTATGAATGTGATAAAGCACTGATTATTCTTTGTATAGATATAGTAGAGAGCTGTATGAATGGGTAAATGAGGGCACAGATTGTAATGTAAAGAGCTTTGAGTATCTTGATAAGATAGAAAGGCGCTATAAGTACAGTCTATTTATTAGTCATGTTCTTTCAATGACTTTTCATAACATAAACCATCAGAAAAAGTGGCCAAGTGATCAATACTATTTGCATCATTAAGCAGCATTAATAATCTCTGCCAGCTCATGTGTTTGCTTCTCGTTAACGGTTTCTCAACTTTTTGCAGCATGCGTGCAGATTCTCTATGACTGGACCAACAATCGGTGGAAAGAAGATGGAAGCAGGCACACATTTTCATAAGCTTTCAGTTTTGATAAGTTCAAAGAAGGATAAAGTGCATGCATTATATTACTGACATGCTCTCTGAGTCAAACCAAATGTATCAAAGATACAGCAGCCTGATTGTGGAAAAGGCACAGCAGATACCAACCAACCTGTACATAAGGAAAAATGCTAGAAACGTTTGTATAAAGTATACAACGTTCATCTGATAGGTCTCTCAGTTAGCAACAATCATTTATTCTCAAAAATAATGCCATGATAAAAAATGAGTTTAATCAGTTCAAGTTGCTTCAGCCTTGAAGTGAAATATAAAAATTTGTAATCTAGTACTGATCTCTAGTGCTGCATATAACAAACAGCAGAAATATATTATTTTTCAACATTTTTAATCAATCCAAATCAACAGCTAGTAATTATCTTTGAACTGATTTCAGTTTATCTTATATTCTTTAACCTGTAATACTTTGAATTTCCTAAAAAAAATGCTACAATTATTTTTCTTTCTTGCCTATGTTTTGATCTAATTGTTAAATGAACACGTCCATAAAGCTTGGTTGACTGTTTTATGCTTCTGTTAATTTGAATGCATACACAAAAATAGAAAAAGAAAAAAAGACTAAGATGTTTTCAAATTGTGAATATTATCATATTTAAAAACTTCTAGGAACCTTTTGCCTCTTTGATCTTGATTGACACACACATGCACACACACACACACACACACACACACACACACACACACACACACACGTTGCACATTCAGGTAAAGATGAAGAAGCGTGTTGTTTGGCACATGTGTAGACACTTCGTCTTTCCGGAAAGCAGTTATTGCTACTACCTTCAAATCAATAGGCATGCACACACACACACACTAATATCCCTAACCATGATTAGATTCAAATTGGTTACAGCAACAGCAATGGTTGATCAATATCCTAATTTACCAACAATCAATAGGCAACCAGAGCAATAAAATGCTGTTATGAGTGAATCACTTGAAAACACACAGAGGCCTGTAAAAATCTGACTATCAACTATCAGTTAGGTTGTCTGTGACGTACGACACCCATGCAGAAAGACCATCTATCACACACAGTTATACACAATAACATACAAAATATACTTTGAAAATTACTCATTCATGTTCAGAATGAATGCAAGCTGAAGTGCTTTCACAAGAGGATATAAAAAGTATACTTTATGTCTGTAATAACATTTTTTGTTGTTTTCCTCGTTCAACTTTGAGCATACCCATAACGTTTATTACTCTCACCAGTGATCAGATTGAACCATAAAAACAGCAGCTCGTAAAATGTTAGGTCAAAAATGTCATTTTCTATAAAACAATCATGGATTGGAAGTTGGATGATATGATCCAAAATGCACACAACCCAGTAAGGTACAATTATTGATAAAAATTTGTTATAATGACTCGCATTGATCCCTGCAGCAGAAAGTGCTCTTTTTATGTTTGCCAGCCGAAGTTTGTAGTTTTTTAAAATAAGTTATTTGTAATTATAAGGTGAACCTGTCTAAAACTTACAACAGGTTACGGCTGGGTTTTGTTGAGGCACTTTACAACTCTAAATTAAACTTGGTTTTCCTCATGAGACTCATTAAAAGTATTTTACATTTCTTGCTGTAGCCTACACTCCCTTCCAATTAACTCTGAATCATGACTCATCTCTCCTTTGCAATTGTTCATAAACATAAATGAGTAATTTTGCTGCAAATACCAAGACAGTACCTGGCAAAAAAAAAAAAACACCAACCATAGACTTGTGAATAAAAAAGAAAATGACTCACCAAATGGTTGGCGGTTCGGAGCCCTCCACTTCTAGGTAGTCATACTTTTCTTCGGTCTGGAAGTCTGTAAAGATGACAGAGATGGTGTCTCCAGGTTCGGCCAATAGGATCCAAGTACAGTCGGCTTGGTTACCATAGTTGCCGGGGTAACCGGGACTGGTCACCACCCCACTGCCGCCCCTCACAGTGCCCCCACATGTGTCCTCAGCTGTCAATCAAATCAGAGTGACAAATAGAAAACCTGGGTTAGGGAGAGGAGGAGGGACTGAGGGGCGGACTTTGATTTTTTTATTTTCTTCCAAATTTAAATTTATTGCTTTTGGTAAGAATGTCTTTACTTCCAGGTTTGGTCGAGTCAATTAACAAACGGCTGTGCTACAATCAGATTAGCATTTAAGATCAAATTTGCGAAACACCTAATATCATTTCTCAGCCGTTCTAGCGGATTATAAATCAGCCGGCCCAACTCCCCAACTCTGTCCCTGTAGTTTTTGTTCATTATCTTAATTTTTCGTAACACACTTCGTTTTGCTCCATGTATGTTATTTTGCGACTTGAATGTTAGAGATGGATGACTTCCTCATGGCACATATCATATTAGCAAACCATATTGTGAAAATATGGATCTCTCACATCACACTTAGGATATGAAGTAAGTTAGAAAGAAATTGCAAGATGAACTGACGAGTTTTGACTTTTGGGGACTATCAGTTGTCTTCCTTTATTTGGTTAGAATTAGGAGTTGGGTTTAGGGGTTAGGCTGCAGTTCCTGTCACACTCAGAGCTACTGTCCTCTCCTCCAAATATAGGGAACGTTTTAGTTGTGTCCAATATCAGAGCTCCGCTCTCATCTCCTCCAATCACCACCAAGGGAATTTAAATTTGACTGATATCCAATTGACTTATTTAGAGGTAAACTGTAATCTAAAATCCAAAATAGAACAGATGTGATAATAAATTTGCCTGTATTGCTTTAAATTGCCAATCACATCTGATTGATAGCAGGATGTAACTGATGCTGATTCTTGTATAACAGATAAAGACACATGGATTGCGCTGTGTACACAGCATAAATTATACACATAATTTATACAAATACACTCACTGAGAAAAAAAAGAACAACATCGGGCCTTATTGTATCACTGGTGCATTGGCTGTAATTTCATGGAATGGATCTGTTAATCTTTCTTGACTGTAACATTCTTATATTTATAAAAATACCAAAGATGAATTTTGCTCAGCCAGTGTCCCAGTGACCAAAGATCCAATGTTGATTTTTTTTTTTCCAGAGTCCAACTGTGCACTTAGTATAAATTATAGCTGTATATTTTATAGTTATACATAAAAAGAGGCAATATTGCATGTAACACTCTTATAGCAGACATATATTTTACTACCAACCAGTATGTGCAATTTTGGATGACACCAGATCTCTCCAATACCAATCACACGTAGACATCAGTATTTAGAGAAGACCTAAAGTTACCGCATGGGTGTCATCTGTGAATCGCACTCACTGAGAAGCTGAAAAAGACATCCTTTATAAGAGTGTAAGGTGCACATGCACATGCTTTGGGCTCATCCAGGCGGTGCTGTATAGGGCAAAGGGGGTGGGGTGGGGCATGTACAGACGACAGAGATAGGGTAAGGACCAAGCCAGACTCTTTCCTCAAGAAAGGTGCAGAGAATCACTCTGGTCCAAGACGCACATCTTTCAACAGATGGTAACCAAATGCACACGGATAGAAAGAGTTGCAAAATATATTAGAGACTGGACAGAACACTCAGAGGAGACAGGAAATACAAGTGGCTAGTAGTGGGGACAGAAATAGACAAAGATGAGCAGAACCGGATTAAAGAAAAGAACAGAATAAATCTGGAGCATTTGAAAACAGGGTTTTGGTACAACGTGCACCAAAGAGGAATCAAGAAACCAAATGAATAACAGAATAACTGGGTTTTATCCAATAGATCAGCAAGTGAATTTAAAGTAATGGTTCAGATTTTGAAGTGGGTTGCGTGGAAAAGACACCAAACAATAATTTTCTAAATAGCTTTTTAATTAACCCACATTTGGAGACTGATGAGCTAACAGGGCCAAGACGAAAGTCATTCAGTGCTTTTGTAAAAGGACGGTTAATAAACTTTTAACCTGCTGTCAGTTTTAAATCGAATTTTATTTTATGGATTCATATGCTTTTTTTTTTTTCCTGCAAGCACAAATAGTGGCAGCAGTAGCAGATAACTGAAAAGACTAAGGCTATCGTAATATTCTGATGGAATAACCCTTTCGGATACAGCTGACAACTGTGTAAAGGTTTATTAAAAAAAACAAAGTAAAACTTCTTAAAATGTGAGATAAGTTGAATCAAAACGGCAGCAGTCTACTGCTCAGAGTAGCCAATCAGTTCTGTCAAAAGTAAATTTGTAAAGTTAGTTTAAATTAAATTGATTTTTTTTTCAAACTATCTATGATTGACATATTAATTGTTCACAACTTTTCCTCAGAACTTCACTTCAAAATATCTGAACCATTTTCCTAAAAGGACAAAATGCATTTTTAGCTGTTAGTTTTACAGAAATCTTGTGAATTGTCTAAAATTGCAGTTGCTGATGTACAGATAAGTAAAGGAACGTACTGAAACTTCATGAACAAAAGTGTAAAAAAAAAAAAAAAAAAAAAAAACAAGATACACACTGGCTGCAGAATCAGGCAGACAGGAAGACAGACAGACCACTCAGTTCTACAGACAGTCATTTCACAGCAAGACAGTCGAGGAGATTTGTTTAAATGACCCAACACCCCCAAACCAAGACCTGCAGAGACCCCATCATACTTGCAGGAGAGCAATGAAGCATTGTGAATTCAGCGTGTGTGTGTGTTTCTGCAAGATGGGAGAGCGCTGCTTGCAGGATGGCAGCTGTCACAGGTTTATCATGACAACGGCAGGACATCTGCAAGCACTAACGGACACAGACCTGCAGACTCACACATACACACGCTGCACGCACACAAACATGCACGCGCCTCTTCCAGCCCATCGACTTGTTCATCCGCAGGTGACACTTAACAGACAGATGGAAATCCCTCAAGGTGCACTGAAGTGTGGTGTTTTTGAGTTGTGGATAAAACAAAGTTGTTAAAATAAGTAAATTAAAATGTGCATTTAACTATGCAGCACAGCAGCCATCTTAAATGCAGAGCTCAGTACAGCAATTGCCAAAGCGGAAACAGCAATGGAGGAAAAAGAGCAGCAAAGATTGAACGAACTGACACATATGAGAAAATCAATAAGTCAGAAATGAGTCTGCATTGATTTAAAACCATACGATTCAAGAAAACATTCTTGAAAAGTAGCCAATGATCCATGTGGATACAAAAAAAAACAACCTTTAGCAAGTGTTTTTTGTTTGTTTGTTGCTGTGTGTGTTTATCACCTGCTATATACTGTATGTGTGTGTGATCTATACATTCTCTCTTTACTCAAAGGTGGCTTGTAGGAGAAAACATGAAAGCTGTTAGCTGCAAGCTACGTTCCACTTAAAACTGACAGGACTGCTGATACAACAAACTTCTACAGTGCGCAAAACATGTCATGCTCTAGTTGCAAGTATGGTCTACTCGGAGCACAATCAGTCTCGCAGTTCACTCCTAAAGGTGACTAAACGCCAAAAGATACAGCAGGAACAGAAACAGGCTGTGTGTACTTTCAAACAATGAGAACTCGCAAGTCAAAAGCGTCGATGGATGCTAAAAATGACCAAATTTGCAAAGACACTCAATCATACTCGTTTGCTAAAAATGTTGAACTAGGCCAAACTAATTGAGGTTTGCATGTCCTAGTTTGATGCATTTAGTAATAAATAAATAAATAAACACAAAGCGAGCAAACAAATAAAACCTACAGTATGATAATTGAAAGTACAAATTATCGCACAACAAATTTATTTCTGTTAGGTTTGATGACAAAAATATATTTACGTATCGGTGTGTATTCTGACCAGGGTGGCACAGTGACTCAGTTGGTAAAGCTGTTGCCTCTCAACGAGAAGAGTGCCGGTTCAAATCCCGGCCCAGGACCTTTCTGGATTGAGTTTGCATGTACCCTCCATGCATGCATGGGTTTTCTCTGGATACTCTGGTTTTAGACCAAAAACATGCCTGTTAGGCTGATTGGTAACTCTAAATTGTCCCTAGGTGTGAGTGAGAGTAGGAATAGTTGTCTCGTTTGTCTGTACGTGTCCCTGTGATGGACTGGAGACCTGTCCAGGGCGTCCCCCACCACACAGTGATGGCTGGATATGGGCATCAGTGATCTTGTGACCCGAAAAGGAAGTAGCGTGGGTAAAGATAATGGATGGATGAATGGTATTCTGGTCAACAATCTGGTTAATTAACTCTTGAGTGTCAGATTTTTAATCCAGACTTCCAGTATTGTCTCCTGATTAGATTAGTTTTGGCTTCAAAAGTCTTTGACATATGACAAGGGTGGGTTTACTATGTTTAAAATGGTTGCATTCAAGGGGAGTCTGTTGAGAATAATTTGAATTACGCACTTGTTTTTGTCATGACTTATTTAATAGATTGTTGTCATTGTGTTTGGTCTTAGTTGTAAAAAAAAACTTGTTAATATTACACTTGCAACGATGTGCTTAACAGTAACCAACCAACATAGCAAAACAAATCACTTAAACACATACAAATGTACAGCTCGTGCTTAATTTGTTCATCAATTTTGGTAGAAAACTACCTCTGTTGTTTCTGTTTTATTTTTATTATTTTCATCTGCCCCTGACTAAAAAGAACTCGTTGTTCACAGAACCTAAAGGAAATCTCAATGCTATGAAAGGTAATGGTTTTAGCTGACACATGATGCATTTAAGATCCCCACTAACTCTGCAGTGTGTCAAGTGATAACAGCACAATGCGGAGACCACTTCAGGAGCAGCTGCTCTGATAAAGAGACATTTGCTGCATCTTCATAAAAGCAAGAGTGAGACACCTCAAGTCAACTCTGAATACCTTCTCTTAAATGTTTCTGCAGCTGACATCAAGTAACCAGAAAGTGTTTCTATGTTGCACCGGATAATTTTGGATACATCCTGCTCCCGTCATTAGGCCACATCTGTGTGACAGTGTTAAGTGTTACCATTTGGGGCTATATCATTTCGCTTTTATCGCTCAGAAGCAGTGTAAATGAGTCTTG